TAGATTAAATTATATCCAAGGTTCATATTTTGTATTATTACATTTGTTACAAATTACTTGAAATGCCATAGCTGTTACATTTATAAACATCAGTTCCTGGGCCTGGAATCAGCTGGTTCCATGGTGTAATGGTTAGCACTCTGGACTCTGAATCCAGCGATCCGAGTTCAAATCTCGGTGGGACCTGGTGTTTTAGCAATTTCTTATTTTGTGTAGCAAATACTTCATTTATTTTGTAGGCCTACATTTGCTTTATTATTATATAATATTTTATTATAGCCTTTATTTTTGTTTTTATATATATATATATATATATATATATATATATATATATATATATATATATAAAAAAACACACACACACACACTATATGGCCATAAGTTTTGGGCCACCTGCCTTTCCACGCACATGACCTTTAATACCCCCCAGTCTTAGTCCGTAGGGTTCAATATTGAGTTGGCCCCGCCCTTTGCAGCTATAACAGCTTCAACTCTTCTGGGAAGGCCGTCCACAAGGTTTAGGAGGGTGTCTATGGGAAGGTTGGACCATTCTTCCAGAAGCACATTTGTCAGGTCAGGAACTGATGTCGGGGGAGGAGGCCTGGCTCACAGTCTCCGCTCTAATTCATCCCAAAGGTGTTCTATGGGGTTGAGGTCAGGACTCTGTGCAGGCCAGTCAAGTTCCTCCACCCCAAACTGGCGCCTCCATGTCTTTATGGACCTTGCTTTGTGCACTGGTGCGCAGTCATGGTGGAAAAGGAAGGGGCCATCCCCAAACTCTTCCCACAAAGCTGGGAGCATGAAATTGTTCACAATGTTGCCTTAAGAGTTCCCTTCACTGGAACTAGGGGGCCAACCCCAACCCCTGAAAAACAACCCCACACCATAATCCCCCCCCTCCACCAAACTTTACACTTGGCACAATGCAGTCAGGCAAGCACCATTCTCCTGGCAACAGCCAAACCCAGACATGTCCATCGGATTGCCAGACAGAAAAGCGTGATTGGTCACTCCAGAGAACACGTCTCCACTGCTCTAGAGTCCAGTGTCAGCGTGCTTTACACCACGGCATCCGCCGCTTTGCATTGCACTTGGTGATGTAAGGCTTGGATGCAGCTGCTTGCCCATGGAAACCCATTCCATGAAGCTCTCTACGAACTGTCATAATGTTAGTGGTGCCTTAAGCTCGGTTAATAGGCATGCGTTTGTCATGCAGCAAAAGCCCACTCTGCACCCCATTAGCGCCTAACTTCCACCCACTCTGCTCCCCATTAGCGCATCACTTCTCCACACGTCTCCACTGCTCTAGAGTCCAGTGTCGGCGTGCTTTACACCACGGCATCCGCCGCTTTGCATTGCACTTGGGTTTCCATGGGCAAGCAGCTGCATCCAAGCCTTACATGTTGTGCTAACATAAAATAAAAATGTCAAAAACATCAGGTCCCACCGAGATTTGAACTCGGATCGCTGGATTCAGAGTCCAGAGTGCTAACCATTACACCATGGAACCAGCTGATGTCATGACCTGAAAATAATGCTTGTAAAAGTAACCAGGACAGCTACAGATTGTCTCAAACAAACATGCAATAGATGTAATATGGCTAAATAAAAACCTTAGCTATAATGTAACATTTTTAGCAAAGTTCACCTCAACACAGCATCTCTATAGAGAATGTTTTGCTTCCATGTATTTAATTTCACATACAAGATTCCTCTTCAGCATATTGAGAACACATGACCTGCCATCTGCTATACAATCACAAATTGGGAAGACATATGATACAAAAAACACAAGATAAAAATACAATAAAAACACATTGCAAAGAAATAAAATGCTGCACAACAGGCCCCTTTCACATGAGCGAACTGATCAGTCCATCCATAGACTTCTATGGACCGGCGGGCAATAGTCTGTTCAGACCCGCCGACATCTGATCCGATCCTGTACACCAAAAACAGACGGATGGAGATCCAGCGGATCAGATGACAATCGGGTGGAAATGGACAGGCGGTTCGTTTCTATCCGACCATCCCATTGAAATCGGCAGGCAGTGTCTGTGTCCGCTCTGCAGCAGTAGACCAGCAGACAGAGACCAGACCAGGATCAGTGGAGAGGTCCCCCCCCCCCCCCACCTACTGAGCAGGCAGATCATGCTGAGGGAGCCGCCCCCTCTAAAAGGGATAGTAAAGATAGAATCACACAAAGAAATACAATACAGTTACAAACACACAATAAAAACAAACATAAAAACACATACTATACAACAGCGGTTCTCAACCTGGGGGTCGCGACCCCTTTGGGGGTCGAACAACGCTTCCACAGGGGTCTCCTAAGACCATCGGAAAACACATATTTCCGATGGTCTTAGGAACCGAGACACCGCTCCTCGCCGCCGCCACCGCCGTCTCCAGGTGTGGGCGGGATGACATGCCGCCCCTGTCATCTGGACACACCTCGAGATCAATCCTCGCCTGTGATTGGCCGCCAGCACTGTAGCTCAGGAGAGGCACACAGGCGGCCAATCACCGGCAAGGAGGTGGAGCTTGGAGAGGAGGAGCCGAGCGGCACAGCAAAGTTCGAGCGAGTGAAGAGGAGGAGAGCGGCCGGAGAAGGAAGAGATCTGACAGGTAAGTGTCGGTACCATGGGAGAGGGAGGGAGCGAGCCCAGGCTGGAGCAGGGGTCTGCAAGGTAAGTATCATTGGTGTCAGTGGGAATAGTGCCCCATTATTGGTGTCACTAATACCAATGATGGGGCACTATTCCTCCCACTGACACCAACGATGGGACACTATTCCTCCCACTGACACCAACGATGGGGCACTATTCCTCCCCCAAATGACACCAACGATGGGGAACTATTCCTCCCCCACTGACACCAAGGATGGGGCACGATTCCTCCCCCCACTGACACCAACGATGGGGCACAATTCCTCCCCCCACTGACACCAAGGATGGGGCACTATTCCTCCCCCCACTGACACCAAGGATGGGGCACTATTCCTCCCCCCACTGACACCTATGATGGGGCACTATTCCTCCCCCCACTGACACCTATGATGGGGCACTATTCCCCCCACTGACACCAATGATGGGGCACTATTCCCCCCACTGATACCAATGATGGGGCACTATTCCCCCCCACTGACACCAATGATGGGGCACTATTCCTCCCCCCACTGACAGCAATGATGGGGCACTATTCCTCCCACTGACACCGATGATGGGGCACTATTCCTCCCACTGACACCGATGATGGGGCACTATTCCTCCCACTGACACCGATGATGGGGCACTATTCCTCCCACTGATACCGATGACGAGGCACTATTCCTCCCACTGACACGGCACTATTCCTCCCACTGATACCAATGACGGGGCACTATTCCTCCCACTGATACCAATGACGGGGCACTATTCCTCCCACTGACACCAATGACGGGGCACTATTCCTCCCACTGACACCAATGACGGGGCACTATTCCTCCCACTGACACCAATGACGGGGCACTATTCCTCCCACTGATACCAATGATGGGGCACTATTCCTCCCACTGATACCAATGACGGGGCACTATTCCTCCCACTGACACCAATGACGGGGCACTATTCCTCCCACTGATACCAATGATGGGACACTATTCCTCCCACTGATACCAATGATGGGGCACTATTCCTCCCCCCACTGACACCAATGATGGGGCACTATTCCTCCCACTGACAGCAATGATGGGGCACTATTCCTCCCACTGATACCGATGATGGGGCACTATTCCTCCCACTGACACCGATGATGGGGCACTATTCCTCCCACTGACACTGATGATGGGGCACTATTCCTCCCACTGATACCGATGACGGGGCACTATTCCTCCCACTGATACCAATGATGGGGCACTATTCCTCCCACTGACACCAATGACGGGGCACTATTCCTCCCACTGATACCAATGACGGGGCACTATTCCTCCCACTGATACCAATGATGGGGCACTATTCCTCCCACTGACACCAATGACGGGGCACTATTCCTCCCACTGATACCAATGATGGGACACTATTCCTCCCACTGATACCAATGATGGGGCACTATTCCCCCCCACTGACACCAATGATGGGGCACTATTCGTCCCACTGATACCAATGATGGGGCACTATTCCTCCCACTGACACCAATGACGGGACACTATTCCTCACACTGACACCAATGACGGGGCACTATTCCTCCCACTGACACCAATGATGGGGCACTATTCCTCCCACTGACACCAATGACGGGGCACTATTCCTCCCACTGACACCAATGACGGGGCACTATTCCTCCCACTGACACCAATGACGGGGCACTATTCCTCCCACTGACACCAATGACGGGGCACTATTCCTCCCACTGACACCAATGAAGGGGGCACTATTCCTCCCACTGACACCAATGACGGGGCACTATTCCTCCCACTGATACCAATGATGGGGCACTATTCCTCCCAATGACACCAATGACGTGGCACTATTCCTCCTACTGCAAAAATTACAGTTATGAAGTAGCAACGAAAATAATTTTATGGTTGGGGGTCACCACAACATGAGGAACTGTATTAAGGGGTCGCGGCGCTAGAAAGGTTGAGAACCACTGCTATACAAAGACATACAATGAAAGTATAAAAACACATACAATACAAAGACATACAATATAAGTATAAACACATACAATACAAAGACATACAATGAAAGTATAAACACATACAATACAAGGACATACATTAAATATATAAACACATACAATACAAGGACATACATTAACCACGTCCCGCCCGCCATATAGTAATATGACGAACACAAGGTGGTTCTCTCGTTCTGATAGGACGTCATATGATGTCCTTCCATTCTCACCGCGCATGTACGGCTCAGGGGAGCGCGCAGCACGGCGATCGCCAGTGCGCTGTGTCCCTCGGACACAGCAGATCACCGTTCACGGAAAGAGCTGAAGATGTCGGCTCGGTCATGTGATCAGCTGTGTCCAATCACAGCTGATCACATGTAAACAGGGAAATTCCGGCTATCAGCATTTCTCTCCTCTCGAGCTGTCACGCTGACAGAGGAGAGGAGAGGAGAGCCGGTAATTGGCTTTCTGCAGAGGGGACATGTACACGGATCATCAGGACACTGATGATCAGTGTAGCCCCAGCAGTGCCACCAGTCAGTGTCCATCAGTGCCTTGTGCCAGTGCTCATCAGTGCCTCGTGCCAGTGCCTACCTGTGCACATCAATGCCACATATCAGTGCCCATCTGAGCTGCCTTTCAGTGCCACCTATCAATGCCAATTAATGTCGCCTATCAGTGCCAGTCAGTGCCGCCTATCAGTGCACATCAGTGCCACCTAACAGTGCCAGTCAGTGCCGCCTATCAGTGCCATGTATCAGTGCTGCCTTTCAGTGCCCATCAGTTATGCCTGTCAATGCCCATCAGTGCCACCTACCAGTGCCTCCTCATCAGTGCCCATCACTGCAGCCCTATTAGCGCACATCAGTGAAGGAGAAAAATCACTTTTTTACAAAATTGTATAACAAAAACTAAGAAAAAACATTTTTTTTTTTCAAAATTTTCAGTGGTTTTTGATTTGTTTAAGAAAAAATAAAAAACCCAGAGGTGATTAAATACCACCAAAATAAAGCTCTATCTCTCACAAAAAAATGATAAAAAGTTCATATGGGTACAGTGTTGCATGACCGCGCAATTGTCACTCAAAGTGCGACAGCGCTGAAAGCTGGAAATTGGCCTGGATGGGAAGAGGGTATAAGTGCCCTGTAGGTGAGGGGTTAAAGATATAAACACATACAATACAAGGACATACGTTAACCCCTCGCCTACAGCGCACTTATACCCTCTTCCTGCCCAGGCCAATTTCCAACTTTCAGCGCTGTCGCACTTTGAGTGACAGGACAAGAGGAGCGGCTCCTCTCACCTCCGACACTATCTTCTCCCCATCTGATGAGGCCGAAGGGGAAAAAGATAGCGAGGTTCACACCTCTCTGTGGAGAGGTGCGAACCTCCTGCGGAGGTGTTCCAGACTGCGGCGTCACACTGACACTGCACAGTCTCGGCATCCACAGGGAGGGCACGGGGAGTTCCCACTCTTGCGGATGCCTACGGACAAAGACCGCGCTAACGAGAGCGCGACCCGTGTCCAGGGGGGTGTACCTCGTTTCCGAGTCCAGGGCTGGGAGTACCGCTGACACTGCTAATACTCCAGGGCTGGGAGTACCGCTGACACTGCTAATACTCCAGGGCTGGGAGTACCGCTGACTACTGCTAATATTCCAGGGCTGGGAGTACCGCTGACTCTGCTAATACTCCAGGGCTGGGAGTACCGCTGACACTGCTAATACTCCAGGGCTGGGAGTACCGCTGACATTCTGCTAATACTCCAGGGCTGGGAGTACCGCTGACACTCTGCTAATACTCCAGGGCTGGGAGTACCGCTGACATTCTGCTAATACTCCAGGGAGTACCGCTGACTCTGCTAATACTCCAGGGCTGGGAGTACCGCTGACACTCTGCTAATACTCCAGGGCTGGGAGTACCGCTGACACTCTGCTAATACTCCAGGGCTGGGAGTACCGCTGACTCTGCTAATACTCCAGGGCTGGGAGTACCGCTGACTCTGCTAATACTCCAGGGCTGGGAGTACCGCTGACACTGCTAATACTCCAGGGCTGGGAGTACCGCTGACACTGCTAATACTCCACCGCTGACACTCTGCTAATACTCCAGGGCTGGGGGAGTACCGCTGACACTCACACATACAATAGAAGAAGTTCATCAGCCATCTCTAACAATCCCGAAAGCTGCTGCAGTTTACAAAGACTTCCTATTGCCTGGTGGGCGGGGTCTGCGCTCCCACAATGCCTCCTGACTGCTCCATTGATTTGCATACTTTGACTATTCCTTTGAAATGCTCAATATTCTTTGTATAAAATGTAATATTTAAGCCGAATACATTCTTGCTGAACAGGAAGATACATCAAAGGACTATTTAGGAAGGTGTAGATACATTTTTTACATTTTCAATAATTGTTTTTTACTCCCCTCCTCTCCTTAATGTGACACTTTCATTTCTTAGAGGGGTTATATACCGTTCAGTGCCTCCAGTGGTTCGTCCTCGCTTCGGCAGGACATATACTAAAATTGGAACGATACAGAGAAGATTAGCATGGCCCCTGCGCAAGGATGACACGCAAATTCGTGAAGCGTTCCATATTTTCTTGCACCTTATGGTGGAATACTGAAGCTTTTGCACTCGTATTGTGTACTATTGCCATGGCTATACCAAAAAATACAATTTAGCACAAGTCACATGGCAAGGTAGATTGTCAGAGTTCTACGTTTTCGCGGAGCTCTTGTATACGGCCAGTCTTGGGACAAGCTGCACTGGGGGCGAAGATGGGGGTGCTAAACTGCACCCCTCCCCCACAGCTCCTTAATTCAACAAAACAAAAAAAAAAAAGCGAAGGGAATGCGGAAAAATGACAAGGACACCTTAAGATGCGTCCAAGTGCATGCGTTTTTATGTGCATTTGTGCACAGCGCATTTCGAGCAGCCCTTTAATTGCGATGGGCTGCGCTACGCACACATGAAACATGCACAAAGAGGTTTTTAAAATTGCACCGCAGCAAAGGGCACGGTAAGCATTCTCAGCTGTCGTGAACGCACACACGTTTGCCAGATGTGTGGGGTGCCTTTAGGAACCAATGGCATCCACACGCGTCTGCAGAAGGTAGCACATTTTCGCACGGTGCGGAAAAAAGACACAATTTCGAGCATTCTTGATCCACACCGGGTGTGAACTGTCCTTCAGTGTTTAAAGAGGAACTTCACTCCTCCGGACATTTTTTTCTTCTGTCTGCTGGGTTGTCCTCACATAAACAGCAAAATTCTGTGCCTTTTGGTGTCATCCTTTGCACACCACGTCCCGCGCCGCCATCCTCTCTTCTTACATCATCGGGGGCCTCCAGTCTTTTCCTGGTTTTTGCAGATGGCCCCCTGATGACACCCTGCAGCGCATGCGCAGTGTGGTGTAGATGGCCCAATGCATGCGCAGTGTGGTGTAGATTTACATTTGGATTTGTAGATCTGGTATGACGCATGTGCAATGTGGTGTAGATGTACCAGCAGGGGCGGACTGACAACTCATGAGGCCCCTGAACAATAAGGGATTATGGGGCCCTGTGTCTTTGCCCAAACTCACATAAGGCTCCAGGGCTGGCAGTACCGCTGACTCTGCTAATACTCCAGGGCTGGGAGTACCGCTGACTCAGCTAATACTCCAGGGCTGGGAGTACCGCTGACTCTGCTAATACTCCAGGGCTGGAGTACCGCTGACTCTGCTAATACTCCAGGGCTACCGCTGAGTACAGGGCTGCGAGTACCGCTGACTCTGCTAATACTCCAGGGCTGGGAGTACCGCTGACTGCTAATACTCCAGGGCTGGGAGTACCGCTGACTCTGCTAATACTCCAGGGCTGGAGTACCGCTGACTCTGCTAATACTCCAGGGCTGGAGTACCGCTGACTACTGCTAATACTAATACTCCAGGGCTGGGAGTACCGCTGACTCTGCTACTCCAGGGCTGGGAGTACCGCTGACTCTGCTAATACTCCAGGGCTGGGAGTACCGCTGACACTGCTAATACTCCAGGGCTGGGAGTGCTGACGCTGACTGCTAATACTCCAGGGCTGGGGAATACTCCAGTACCGCTGACACTGCTAATACTCCAGGGCTGGGAGTACCGCTGACACTCTGCTAATACTCCAGGGCTGGGAGTACCGCTGACTCTGCTAATACTCCAGGGCTGGGAGTAATGACTCTGCTAATACTCCAGGGCTGGGAGTACCGCTAATACTCTGCTAATACTCCAGGGCTGGGAGCGGCGCTGACACTGCTACTGGGAGTACCATACTCTCCCCACCCAGGGCTGGGGGTACCGCTGACTCTGCTAATACTCCAGGGCTGGGAGTACCGCTGACTCTGCTAAATACTCCAGGGCTGGGAGTACCGCTGCGGAATACTCCTAATACTCCACTGCTGGGAGTACCGCTGACACTGCTAATACTCCAGGGCTGGGAGTACCGCTGACTCTGCTAATACTCCAGGGCTGGGACCGCTGAGGGCTGGCTAATACTCCAGGGCTGGGAGTACCGCTGGACTCTGCTAATACTCCAGGCTGGGAGTACCGCTGACACTCTGCTAATACTCCAGGGCTGGGAGTACCGCTGACACTGCTAATACTCCAGGGCTGGGAGTACCGCTGACACTCTGCTAATACTCCAGGCTGGGAGTACCGCTGACATACTGCTAATACTCCAGGGCTGGGAGTACCGCTGACTTGCTAATACTCCAGGGCTGGGAGTACCGCTCCCACTCTGCTAATACTCCAGGGCTGGGAGGACCGCTGACACCCTAATACTCCAGGGCTGGGAGTACCGCTGACTCTGCTAATACTCCAGGGCTGGGAGACCGCTACTCTGCCTCCTGGGGGGGACTGACACGCCAGCCTGCTAATACTCCAGCTTAGGCTGGGAGTACCGCTGACCTGCTAATACTCCAGGGCTGGGAGTACCGCTGACACTCTGCTAATACTCCAGGGCAGGGGGAGTACCGCTGACACTCTGCTAATACTCCAGGGCTGGGAGTACCGCTGACACTCTGCTAATACTCCAGGGCTGGGAGTACCGCTGACACTCTGCTAATACTCCAGGGCTGGGGGAGTACGCTGACTAACTCTGCTAATACTCCAGGGCTGGGAGTACCGCTGACACTGCTAATACTCCAGGGCTGGGAGTACCGCTGACACTGCTAATACTCCAGGGGCTGGGTACCGCTGCTGACTCTGCTAATACTCCAGGGCTGGGAGTACCGCTGACACTCTGCTAATACTCCAGGGCTGGGAGTACCGCTGACACTCTGCTAATACTCCAGGGCTGGGAGTACCGCTGACTCTGCTAATACTCCAGGGCTGGGAGTACCGCTGACTCTGCTAATACTCCAGGGCTGGGAGTACCGTGACTCTGCTAATACTCCAGGGCTGGGAGTACCGCTGACTGCTAATACTGCTAATACTCCAGGGCTGGGAGTACCGCTGACTCTGCTAATACTCCAGGGCTGGGAGTACCGCTGACTCTGCTAATACTCCAGGGCTGGGAGTAGTACGCTGACACTCTGCTAATACTCCAGGGCTGGGAGTACCGCTGACACTGCTAAATACTCCAGGGCTGGGAGTACCGCTGACACTGCTAATACTCCAGGGCTGGGAGTACCGCTGACACTGCTAATACTCCAGGGCTGGGAGTACCGCTGACTCTGCTAATACTCCAGGGCTGGGAGTACCGCTGACACTGCTAATACTCCAGGGCTGGGAGTACCGCTGACTCTGCTAATACTCCAGGGCTGGGAG